AAATATTTGAAAACCATTCCTTTACGTATCAATCTCTTATCCTTTAGCTTAACACCCCACACCCCACCCCCACCCCCAAAATAGTTAACTGTTTCTCTATAGACCCTTTTCCGGACCTGTTTTCTGTACCCTTATCCCAGTTACAAGAGAATCAGTTGGAAAGAACTATACCCAAAAATGGACACAGCATTCCCCTGGCCTTGTCAGAGAGAAATAAAATGAAGAAATATTATTGAGGTTGTAGTAAACTCTTGTTTATGCTACTGGCCTTGTTTGGTGGGTTTTCTGTGGGTGGTTTTTTTTGTGTTGGTGTGGCATTGATTTATGCTCACTTGTGATCCCCAACTGCCCATTTCTTTTTTACAGGCTTCCTCAGTTGCTAGTTGTTTTCTTGTATTTATGCTATTCATTACTTCTGTGGAAATGCTGATATTTGTATTTCTCTTTACTAAATTACACTCTCTTGAATCGTATTGAATCCTAATACTGTGATTTCTTGCAGCATCTACCCCCTGCCCCCCGCTTGGCATCATTCACAGATCAGTTAAGAGGAGTACTGACTGTTCCAATGTTCAGGTTATCTGTGAAAATACTAATTGTACTGGACCCAGGACAGATTCCTGTGGAACACTGCTCGATATTTTCTTACAATTTGATTGTTAACTAATAAGTGAAAATTTTTTCAATAGAGCTGTGTGCACTCACTTTGAAGTAATTTCAGGTAAACAGTATTCCCTTAGCTTGTGACAAGCTTGTCTGTTACCCTGTAGGACAGGACAATGTTCCTTGTGGACAGGGGTGGAACAGTTGATGGCCTGTGTATTGAAGTTTTTTGGCTCTGTGTCTCACTTGTTTTCTGTTTGTAGTTCCTACAAGATTTACAAAGTAAGCATTTAAAAAAACTGTCCAGTTTGGGCCTTGCAGCATGAACTCATATTGAAAAGAGAATCCACCTGGTAAGAGACACTAAAATGCTCTGCCTCAGTTTGAAGCTTCAATTAAAGCATGTACCTTTTCAGTTTGCAAAGTCAAGGGGCAGGAGTTTAACATCAGTAGGAAAAGAGGGGTACTTTTCACTTCTGTGTGCCTCAGATTAAACCAAGGCCTGGATGGCTGGATACCAGAACATATCAGACTGACTTTGCATTTTGCAATTTTTTGTTCCTTCTCAAAGAGCCAAGAGGTGTGCCAGGCAGATGGCAGGTCCCATTGTTGTTATTCCTCCTTGTGTCTGGCTGCATAATTGCATGCAAGAGAACTTGACTTGCACGAGACTTCGCTGAAAGCTTTTGCTCAATGCTTTAACTGTGTCACCATGACAGCAGGAAGGTAGCTGATGTATTAGATGAAGTTTAATTTGGGAGTGGAATGCTGAAAATACTTGGGAACCACTGGTGTATCCCTGCTGAAGAAAGGGTAGTCTGAGCTTTTTTGTTTTTCTTTGAAGGAAGATCTTTTCAGAGATCTGAAACTGCGAAGTGGTTTTTTCACTAGTTAAAAAAAAAAAAACCAACTTTTTTTTTTCTTTCCTTCATTTTCCTTGTATTCTCTTGTAAACAAACACCGGATAAAGTAAATCAGAGAATACAGAATAACCACTAGAGAAGCCATGTGTACTTCTCAGGATCAAGAATAACAATTCTCTTGCAGGGTTCTCCTTTCAAAAGTCTTTCTAGCTATTTAGTTGAAGACACTGGAAAAATGCTTGTTCTGACATTAATTTTTAAACCAGATGACATGAAACTTATTATTTTACTTCTTCATTAGTTGTTGATTTAAACAAGCACATATCCAGACTTTAAAAGCCATAAAAGATGAAAAGCAGTACATGATAGACTGTGCCGATGACCATATGCTGCATTGTATAGGGCCAGTTTTATTTATTGTTTCAGGGCATTATACAACTGTTAGCTGAAACTGTTAGCTGGGGAGAGGGGAGGGGGGAAGAGAGATTAAAACTTTGTCCCCTTCCAGATGCAGGTTAATGATCCCCTGAGTGGTGTTGTAAAAAGCCTGGGCAACACTCAACTGTCCTTCCCTTGCTTTCTTTTTATATCTTTAGAAAACTGAATACAGAGTAGCAAATGGTATTTGGAAGTTAACACTTCTGTCTCTCTTTAATTTGTATTACAACACAAACCTTAAACCAAAATAGGGTAAGATGATGTTTACCCTGAATAATTGTCCTAACTCTTAATTTTTGCTGGCATAGGTAGGCTGGTGAGCCTTTGTATGGACAATGAATGCCAGCCTGTTCTGGTTCTAGTTAGAACAAAATAAGCTAGACCAGCAGGTTTGCTTCTTTCTGTTGCTTTTGCATCAGTGTTAAGACTTGTGTTGACTTGGCTATTTTTTTAAACAACAAAAAACAAAATCTGCACTTCCAACTGTCATGACAAAGCACTATCTGGACCTGCATTTTTTTAAAAAGTCTTTTGACTGTTTCATGAGCAAACTGAAGAAATATGGTCTTGATGAAGTTAATGTCAGGTGGGTGCAGAACTGTTTGAAAAAACTTGCAGAGAATAGATGTTAGAAGCTTATCTTAAAAATGTGATTTACTGAGAAGGACTCTGCATCCATTACTAATCAATATTTTCATTGCTAGAATAAAGTCTGTTTATTAAATTTAAAAATGAGACCAAATAGAAAAGAACTGTCACTCTGAGAGCAGGATTAAAATTAACAGTGGTGTTAACTATACTAAATATTATCAACTATACAAATACAGGCCAGGGAGTAATTGGTTGTGTCAGTCTTCTAGAAAAGCATTTGGATTCTGTAGCAGGCCACAAGCTGAATATGAAACAGTCAATGGGATGCTTTTGCAATAAAGGCAAATAACATACTGGAGTGTGTTAATGAGATTGTCCACAAGATATGTAAAGTACTCCTCTGACTTTATTTAGCCTTGCTCTTAGCCAAAATATTACCTTGGCTGCTGCATTTAAAAAATAACAAAGAGCTCAACTCCAAGAAAGATAAAGAAATGATCAAAAACGTTCTAGTTTTTTCCATAAAAACCTTGGGGTTTTTTTCTAGAAGCTGGAGCTTCTAGAAAAGAAGAGAAGGGCTAAGTGATCTCTTACAAGATCTGTGAGAATAACAGGTCTCTTCTAGAACTGTAAAGCTGAAACTTCCAAACCCAAACTGATTCTGTTTGGGTTAGGAAGATTGAATGAATGAATGTTTGAAGTTTGAAGGCCCTTCGACACTGTTTTGCACCTTTTTTGATGAATGCAGTTAGCTGAGCGATTCACTTTCAGGAGAATGGAGTTAAGAGGGAGGTGGTGTAAACAGGAGGAGGGAAACCATTTAAAATAGAAAAAATACTTAATGGTCATTGTTCATGTTTGTATGACAGTCTTAATTTTTGCTCTTAAATAATTCTTTGTTCTGACAAAACCATATCTGTTTGTTTGAACACTAGAGCTAATTAGAGCAGTGATCATATGATAACTGCTGCCTATTTTCAAGTTCTTGGAATCTTCCAGTAATTAAGGATATTGCCTCCAGAAGCTGGCTTGGGGTGAACACAACATGGCAGAAACATCTGACTACAGACCTAATTGTGTTTCTCAAAAGGAAAATGTCTCAAAACCCTGAAACTGAGACCAAGTATGAAAAATAAAATGGAAAACTGTATTGTATATGAGTTTCTCAACTTGAAGTTTAACAAAATATAACTATGATGATAAAAAACTGTAATACTTTACATCGAGAAACCTAGTGCTCTCACCTCTGCTGAATAGAGGATTTTTCTTAACCTAAAGCTGGGTGCGCATGACAATAGCAAAATATTTTCCAGTCTAGAGGAAACTTTTATGCTCTTCTAGGTATGATTAATGTGTACAAGGGAAACTGAGAATTCTCCTGTCCTTGATTTTTCTTTGGAGGTTGTGGGGTGGGTGGGTTAAACCTGTAGAAGAGTTTACACTATTTTTTTCAGGCCAGCAGCTCTGTCAGTTGACATTAATAAACTTATTCTTCAATGTGTGGGAGGAGGGGAGAAATGTTTTGCAGACAGAAACCATGATGAGAAGTCCAGACTTTCCTGAAGGGAAGTATGTTATTTCTCTGCACCCTCACTGAACTTCATCTTCAGTATTAGGTTTTGGTTAGTAAATGTTGTAAGGAACATAAGTCAAGTTCACCTTTTCCTCATTGTAAAGCAGAAGGAAAGAGATGGACTGTGTCAGTTCTTAGCCTGTAAAACTGGCTGCTTGAAACCCTTGAGCATTGATAACAGCTATCAGAAACTGCTTTTTGCCATGATAAAAGCTGAACATACCTGCTTTAATTTAGTTGTTCATTATTACTTGATGAGAAGAATGACCTCGTGATTCTTTCATGGCTTTTAAATTTCATATGGTGTTTCTTTGGCAATTCCCCCCTCCTTTTTTTTTAATTACATATTCTATTGAAACCCTTGGTTTTGGTCACTGTATTCAAAAAGAAGCTTCTCTTTCATTGTTGGAGAATATTAACAAAAGAATATGTATTCATATTGGCTTTTACGAAAACTTCCTATACGTGTCCAGCCCAAATGGCGGAACGGGGGATCAACTTGAACAGGTTGTTTACCGTTTGAGATTTGAAGTACGGAAAACAAGTTTCACTGAGGAAATCTTTTTTGGTGTGTTTTTTTTTTTTAAAGCAAAGACATGAACTGGACACTTCACCTGTCTCTCTGCCAGCAAACTGAAACAGTTTAGACCTGAAACGTTTATTTTGCAGTTTGTGTAAACTGCAGCAAGTGTTAGCTCAGGCAGCATTTACATTGCACAATTCTTCACAAAAAAGTATGTTAATTGTAGAGCTGTTATTGTATCATCAAAGACTGAAAGCTTAAATGTCAGTTAAAAATGGAGCCATGTCAGTTCTCAGAATTATAAAATAGATCCTTAATTTTATTTCTCTTTGTAGATAATTAAGGGATGTTCTGTTCATTACTTGAGACAGTTGTTAGAAGTAGAGTCTTCTATAGCTGCATACTCAACCACAGTGTGATCAATGATGGCTTTTAATGGCCATGAAGTTAAACACGTAGCTACATCAACAAGTTACCATGGGGTAAACTGAGTGCATTACCTCTGATTAGCTACTGTGCAGTGACTGCCCACGTGCTCACTGTTACCCCCATGGTAGGTAAGAGGTCCACTTCCATGAGGAGAGTACAGAGACAGCTCCTCTGAAGCCACAGGAGCCAAAAGGGCAACATGTAGTAACCCTGCCAGAATTATTGTAACTTCAGAAAGGCGTAAAATGGAGATAACCCTTAGTGGTTATGAAGTGCAGTGTTGCCTGGGGTTTTTTGTTTGGATGGGTAGATTTGTTTGGGTTTTTTCTTCCTTGTGATACTGCACAGGTATGCAGACTGGGATCTGATTGTGAAGAATTTTACCCAGTCTTGGGCCTTCCTGTGGCTCTGTCCCCTCCATCCACCAGCAAAAACCCAGGAGTAGAAGATGCTTCTCCTCATGGTTGACTTTGATAGTGTCTTATGTGCAGACAAGGAAGGTCAGTTAAGAAGAATATAGAATTATGAGAACTCAGTTGACAGGATAGACAGGGGTAGAAGGATGGAAAAAACACTGATTTGCACCAGTACCAAGAACGGGGAAGAAATGGCTTCTTGGTGACAAGAGGAGCTTATACTACACTTTACAAATAGGCGGTTCTCCTGTGCAACAGCTTATTAAGTGTTAAGCTGGGCAACATACCAGCTTCTAGTGAATTTAAAAGTTGATAACATCAATAGTTAAGGAGAAAAAACAATACATTCCCCCAAGGTTGGGAACTTTTTGATGTGTTCTGACTTAGATGTCAGCATCAATGGCAGTGCAGCACTATTTAAACTGCCATTGATGCTGGATGTTTTAAGAGGTATAATGAGAAAAAAGAATAAAAATAAAGAGGCTGCAAGGGGCTAACAGAGTAGTAAGGTAGGTGATAAATGGTGAGGAAAAAGATATTTTTTTCTGAGTTTCATTTCTTTGACTAAATGACACACAGAACTAAATAGCTAGGAAAGACATAATCCCTAAATTGATCATATGCTTATAAACAAATAATACAATATAGTATAAAATAAAACTTTTATTAGCACACCAGCAATAGTTCAAATGTTTTTCTAGGGTTCTCTTGTTTACTGATGTTTTTAATCTCTTTCCTGCTAAGTTAAATGACTGATTCCTTCTACTTTAACTTTGTTAATTTTAGAATTGTTGTCTTTCCATACGTGCAATCTCTAATGAATGGAGTTGGTATGGTTTCACAGTCTATATATCTGGGAGTATTGCAGCCTCTACTGCTATTCATGCTTCTGCATGTGATCTTGCTCCATACTGTTAAGGTGTGGATTTTATTTCTTTATTCTACCTAGCTTCTATTTGATCTGAAAATAACTTTGGTTACTGAGGAATTGTAACTATAAACTTGTTGATTATAAATATAATGTTTACTGAGTTTATTTCTCATGTAGCTGTGTTTTCTGCTCTAAGATTACTGTCTGCATTTTAGACTTTTTATATTTAGTGCAAGAACGCCTGCTTGAGCAAGTAGAACTTGCTTGTACTTTGAGTTTGTAAGGTGCAGGTCAGTTTTGATCTTGAGGTCCTATAAGCATGTCAGCACAGAAATGTGTCCAGGATAACTCCCCCCACCCCCCCCGCAAGAATTAGTAACCTGGACATAATGTGCTACTGTAACTGTACATTTACTGATTCAAGGTGTTCATTTCCTACCAGCTGGGAGTAAAGCGACTTTATCTGTACATGTTTGATTGTGTATGCTTCCCTTTAAGAAACTCAACTCCAATTATTTTTTTTTTTTCCCTTCACATCTTATAGGGTGGAGAGGCTGGATATATTTGGTGCCTATAGTAACACCCACCCTTAGATAAGGCCTGTGTATTCCAAATCCTTGTCTCTATTTGTGATTTAAATGCAGCATTATACCAACATGTCCTTTCCTGAATCTGTGATGTGAAATACTATGGTATCTTGATCCTGCTTTGTATAAGGTGTTATTAAATTTGAATTTATGTTTTATGGAATGTTTCCTTCAAACCTCTGCAGCTTTTTTAGAGGAAAATTGAGTGAGTTTCAAGAAAGCATCATAAAAATGTGTTGTTATGAAAACATCACTCAAGTACTATTTCTGTTAAACTTTCCATGCAAATATTTGGCTGGCACATCTAATTAAAAATACTGCTTTGTGCCGGGTGAGTCAGGCTTTTTAATTTCACAGCAACAAATTGTTTCCAATTCTAGTTCTATTTTGTGGACAAAATTCAGTTATTCTCGAACATAATGCTTGCTTCTTACACGCTAATGCTGACTACTGGTTGAAGTATGCAGGTGCAATTTAACTTTTCTGATGGCATTCGTTCCTTTAAACTGGTTAAAATTTCTGTTCAAGTATGACCAGATTATTTTGTTCTCGTTCCTATTAGCAAAATAATTAAGTATGGGAAAAAATTGGAAGTTAAAGTAAGTCTTCCACAATAATATAGTTACTGCAGATACCTGTTACTTAAAAACAAAAAACACCCCAGGCAAACTCAATTAAAATTAAAAACTGGTGTATGTAAGTTAGCGCACAAGACTGGATTATGTTTCTTTTCCCCCACATTATGCACAAAAGCCCCTGCATTTATGGGGAGCTAGTTAATAACTGTTTGCACCTTAGTGGAGAACTGTGGTGCTCAGGTGACAGCTGAAGTTTACCCTCTGGTGATGTTCTGACAAGACTTCTGCTGTCTTGCTCTAAAAGTCTATCCAGATAAAACTATTTTGAATCTGTTTACTCAATTACGACTTACGGCCTAATTTCTGGAAATAAAACACCGACCAACTTCAAGTGTGTCTTTGGGTGTATTGCATCTTTCCTAAAGCTGATTTACCAAAGCTGCAGTAAAACGCAGATTTGTTTAAAAGCTGACAGCACTTATCTTTTAAACCTCTGTCTTGTGTCTTATCTATAGTAATGACCAAAAATAGCGTTCTGTTTTTCTGGGGATTTTTTCTTTTTGTTTTTTTCAGTGTATGCCGAGAATATTTTCAGAACGGTGGGAAAAGAAAAGCACTTGAGAAAGATGAAAAAAGAGCACTTCTTACTTCCAAGACCACTCCAGCTTTAAATGTTACCCAGGCTCCCAAGATTGATGATCCCTTGCCAAACTTTGGCTTGACAAATCATGAAGCTATAACAGAAGAGTAAGTTTTACTTGTTTTCCAGACTTTTTTTTCCCATTCTGTGTGTGATAAGACTTACGTGGACGTTTTTTCCCCATAACATACTAGATCAGTCTGATGTATTTTTAATAGTTAAGGAAGGGCATTTTCATGTGAACATATATACATGTTTAAAGAAATATTTATGTTGTTGTATATTTTGGTGGATGCCATAAAAAAATTGCTTGAGAATGACAACATAGTCATCTTCATTTAAGTGTTGGAGCAATTTCACTTTTGTATGTCATTAGTGTGTAATGCAATTTATATTAAACCTTGAGGTGAAATAAGGAAGACATTAGTTAGGTTAGAATGTAATGGCTGTTCAGCATTGTTGAAAAGTCAATTGCTTATGTAAGTACTAAGTGCCAAATGTAAATATCAGAGTACTTAAAACTTTCTCTTAATAAATAATTGCAGAGAAACTTTTGATTCCAATTATACACTTCAAAAGCAATTTTGAATTATAACCCTTAATTTTAAATGTGCTAGCTTTCTGATGACTGGTTCTGCAGAAGTTGTAGTATCCTTGAGGTATTTTCCTAACAACAGTTTTAATTTTGTTTTTGACCTTCACTCAAGTAAGAATTTTAGTTATTGCATTCAGGAGTAGCTTTATTTCAGTTACAGTCCCATGCTCCTTTTTTTCCTAAATAACATGGGTCATGTTTGTGGCTATTCCATGTGTGATGGAAAGAACTTAATATTTTGCAAGTATAATGGAATAATGAATGTATAAGCATATTATCACTAAATGTTACACTTATGACTTGCTTCCTATTCTTTATAGACCAGTTCCTACAATTGTCTGCAACAGTGGTTTTTCTGTTCTGTGAAGAGATTTTTCTCATTATTGTAGCACATCTTCTGTGATCAGCTCTTACTTTAAGTTAGATAGAGTATTAGTTAGGAAAGGAATTAGAATGTTACTAATGTTATTAGCAGATGTGTCTGTCCCTATGAGCTGGCATCTTTTGTGGTTTCTCATGTTTGTGAAGTAACTTGCAAAAGGCATAAAGATCCCAAATGTGTACGTAGTTGAATAGTTACAGGCAAAATGAAAACACTTTCCCTGTTGTCCTCTTACGACAAGACAAAACAGATGCTTCCAAAATGAAGGTAGTGGCTTCTCATAAGCAGACTTGCCCCACCAACTCCTCTTTTTAGTGCTCATTTTGCTAAGTCAGCCTCAAAATGAATACCTGTTTTTAATGAGAACTGCCAGGCACTTTTGCACAAAGGGCTGATGAGATACTAATACCTTATAACATCTCAATAATGCTGGCATTTGTTAACACATAATTTTAGCATTACTATAAATAGCGATTTGTTGGTACTTGTTTGTTTAAATCAATAGGTTTGGTGATTATCCACTACTTAAAGTTGATTTGTCTTCCAGTGGGAGGCCTTGTCATGATAAAGCATTAGCTCTCTTTTTGCATGTGCTCTATCTTCATACTTTGTACAGAGTTTGTAATGGCCGTTGCGGAGCTAACTTCACATGAGTTTCTTCTTGCTACCAGTAGTCTGTAGCCTTACCTTTTGGTCTGACTAGTGCGTATAAAAAGTAGTTAATAGAGAAGTTTTTATTTAATAACTGTAAAAGTATTTGTTAATATAGTGGGTGATGATGATTTTTATCGTCATTCCCAAAACTTTAAAGATACATACATCCATAAAGACATACCTGGCAAAGGCAAGATTCATAATATTTACCTGAGTAAGCAACAAATGGTAGTAAGATTTTTTAGTAGCTGTACAGACCTTAAAGCAACAAGGCATAGCTGTTCAAAGTTGCTGCCCAGAGAAATCAAAATTCAATTTCTTCCTCTATGCTTTATGGAAGAAATCACAGTTTATCAGAATGAAAATGGATTGTGTATTACACAAAGCATACTTTTCTCCTGAAATGCTTTTCTACCATGTCTACACTGATCAATTAGTGAAGTCTTTGAATCTTGGTGAGGTCTTGGTACAAGGGGTATGGGGGAACCTACACACACACACACTTGTTCAAATACTGTCACTCCATTCTGGTAATGTAAGACTACAGATAAGAGTTGTGGAGTTGTCTATAGGTATGGCTAAGCATGTGACTTATTGTCTTTACACTTACCAGAGTAAAACAAAAATTTTGTTCTTCCCATATATAATTCTCTCTCAAGTAGAATTAAAAACAGGTTGCTTATGTAGGAGCTCTTTCTGAGCTTACCTTTACTGGCAAGCCACTGTACTTTGCTTGATAAGGAGCAAAGCTAGCTCAGGAATAAAAGGTTCCACAGGCAGTGAAAAAGACGCTGGGAGATGTGGACAGAAGTAGGAAGCATTCAGCCAGCTCTTAAAGGTGATGGTAGGAAACATCATAGGAACCAGAAGTGCAAAGTTTACTGCAACTCAAAGTCACTCAGCTGCTTTGAACCCACTTCCAGTTGCTCATGTTGCTCACCTCTTTGCCAGATTAAAACTGGTGAGTCTCACAGAAATAACTAATGTGAACAGTCCCTTTTTACTTTCATCTATATGACAAGTTAAAGTATTGTCCATAGTACTTCCTTCCATCCCAGAATGAGTTCTTACGTTTCTAACATTACAACTACACCTGATGTGATGCTGGACATCAAAATGGCTCAGCCTTGCAAGATAAAAATGGCTGTTATCTGCTGTTTCAATAAATCAGTCCCCTCTTTGTTCTCTTTTTGAGTATTGTTTCTCTTCTTTTTCCATCAAATTAAGCAGTCTTGCTTTTTATCCTTAATGGTAAAAATCACAACCTTTTTGGTATGGATTCTTCTCAGGCACTGGTTTGACTGTCTCTTAAGGTACATTCCTTCTTTCATATGTATCTCAGCAAGCTAGACCTTCCCGTTGGATATCTTTATGCGTGGATGTTACAGAAGATTTGAGGCATACCAGTGTTGCCACTCAGAACCATATGTATAGCTTTGTTCTGCTCTTCTACCAGCAGCATAAGGCTTCTGAATTTTTTCCCCCTCCCATCCTTGATAATTAATAGAGTAATTGAAAACTGTAAACTAGGAGATCAGCACTTGAAGTGATTAATTTCAGAGATAAAGTGACTTTCCTTATGGTCATATAACTGCTCTATTTCTATCTACTTCCAAGAGAAAATGTCACTTACCTGTACAGCACCTAGTTGAATAATAGGTGCATTTTTAAGAGGGCTAATAATCAGGAGCTACAGTCCATTTAATAAAGTTCTTGAAATAAACAAGTGTGGGATATATTTAAAATGCACTAATTTCCCAGGCTATATACATTTCTATACCAGTTTCTGATCTTTAACTATTCACATTTTGTTTTTCTACCTGTACACTAATGCATTGGAGAATCCTGTGGATTCAGAATGTGCTTGGAGATTACCTACAGTGGCAAAGTACTTCCCTTGCCTTTAATGTTGCCTTGACTGAAAATCATTAGGAAATGGGGTTCAAGGGTGATTATCAACGAATTCAGCAAGACTGCATTTCTAACAAAGTCATTGGCTCACTGGATCAGTGACCGTCACCTCAATTACAGTTATATTCTCACTGAGGAAAGAATAGAGAGTCTCACTGAGGAGAGACTTAAGAGTTACAGTGCTGAAAAAGTGGGTATTTGAACCAGTGGTCTTTCAGACCATCTGAATTGGCGGTCTGTGCTTTCTGTATATGTTCAGTGACCGAACCTAAGTGCTTCTGAAGAGCTTCAAAATTATTTCAAGCACCTAACTAGGATCCTGTTCCTACTGATGACTGGCAGCCTGAGAATTGCTACTAAGCGATTCATTGCACCTGTGTTCTGAGAGGCAGCAAAACCTGACAAGCAACAGGAAATCAAGACATAAGCGAGCATCTGCATCTCTGCTACTTTTAATGTTTCAAAGTACATTTGCATTGAACTTAGAGAGCAAGGCTCCTTGGATGTGACACACCTATCTGTGAATTTGCCCTGTATCAAATGCCTTAGATCTGTTGTCTGTTAGTGTAGAAGAGAGTTTCTGGCTTCTGCTCAGCTTGGAATCCAGGTTGTAGCTTTCCAGAAGTGTGCCCCAATGCTGTAGTACTCTGAAGTTGTGTCCCCCTTCACCCAGTCAAAAGTAACGCTGCAGCCAAGAATGCAGGTTTTGTAAGAAAGGAAGACAGAATACAACGCAGTGATTTTTCACTCTACTGTAGGTGAAGTGGGCTCTCCTGGAGATTAGAGGGTTCTGGGTTGTGCTGCTTAATTTTAACCTGTACAAGTATTTCATCAAACACTTTAAATGGAAAATGTTAAGATCTCTAGAGGCTGTCACTCTTCTTTATGGGAAGTTTCCTCTGCACTATAGAGTCACGTTGTGTTTCCTGTGGTCCCATGTGTCTTCTATTCTTTTGCTGTTACCATTGGACTCTTACGTAGAATGCAAGCGTACATACAGACGTATGTTTCTGTGTTTGAAAAAGAATCTGCCGTTAGTGTCTCCATTTGCTAGACAAGGAGATGTGCTGGTCTGAGAAATGTTGTACTAGTCTTAACGTGAAAAAAGACATCACTTGACTTCAGCCCATGTTTGTGATTTATGGCCACTAGGATCTGAATGGTCCCTCTGCAGTGTTCAGATTCCTGTTGTACAGATTACATTGTGATTGGCATCCAAGCTGGGAAAAAATTGTTGCTATCATCTTCATTCTGAAATCTCACTCAGTACTGACTGACTGACAGGGTAGCCCAGTAATGTGTGCAATTTTAACTTAAAGGTAATTGTTGAACTATTTGCCTTGGTGATGCTGGTATTTTGACAGATGTATCGCCTGGATATCTTCTGTTCTATGTAAAAGCAAAATCTTTAAATTTGGCATTATTGTTCTGCCGAATGCAACGAGAAATCTTCTCCTGCTTCTCCAACATCTTCTCTGTGGTAGATCGCGGGGAGTTTAGGAGGAGCACAGAGAGCCCAGATATCTTTATTGCTGCTTAAAGACTTTTTTTTGCAGTATTCCTTACTGCTTTGTTGTTGCTGTGAGTACAGCCATGGCTTTGTTGGGACTCCATTGGCCTTGCAGATCTGTTTCTGAAAGTTTCTGCAGTTATCTGTCTCTCTAGGGCTGAATGTTTCCCAGAAAGATGACAAATGATATTTTAGAGATGCCAATTGATATTGGCTACAGAAACTTGAAGCAAAAAGCAACGTTTGCTTGCTGGAAAGCTATCATTGTCCTCCCTGTGAATTCCGTATGAAAGCTGTGAGTTTGTGTTTGTTTGCCTCTATTAATGGATTTTGGGTATTCTAAGATCTTAGAAATAATGATGGAAATTTTTAGATGCAGCCCTGTAAATGATCCAATAGAAAGAGCTCAAACTGTTGGGTGCTAGGTGCTGTATATTTTCTCTTTTTTTTTTTTTTTTGATACGTGGATGGACTCATCAAGTTGTGTTTTAGAGAACAGGCAGATGTAAAGTCCGTACTAGTGAACTTGAACGGAGTTGTTTAAGTCCAGCATTTACTGGTTCGTTGCAACTGCAAAGAAAGAATAAACAGTAGGGGCCTCCAAATTCAGAATGCAAGGAAAGTAAAAAACAAAAGAATAATGTCTTTGATTATAGGATGTATTCAACAGCTGAGTCCCTGATATTAGTGATAACTGAGTGCAACATTCAAATTTTAAGTCTTTTAAGAGGGATGGCATATCAGGCTAGACAAACTAAGTGCCAGGACGAGGCAAAACCTTTAAATGACGACGAGATAGCTGACAGCCAGTACTGCTGTACAGGTGCATTAATCCTACCTGATGCTAGATTATGTATACTGGTAACTGCCTTAGTCATGAAGAAAATGCCTGTGGTTGCAAACTTGAAGACCACAAATGTTCCTCTAGGCATCGGTCAAGGAGACTATCCTTTGGAAGATAAGAATGCTCTCAGAGGCAAGGCAGCAGTCACTGTCCTCAAAAGTTGACAGGCGTCTTTTTTCTTTTCTTTTTTAAACTATATATTTAACGAAAAGAGCAATGAAGTCTTAATCTTCATAAAGGCATTTCAGATTGGTTTTGCAGTTGGTCACAGATGATGTCAGAGCTTCCAAAGAAAAGGTGAATCTCATCTGCCATCATCTAGCATATCTTCTGCTGTGCTATAATGGGAGCTTCCACCAGACAGTACAAGAATGTCCTCTCTTTGTTTCTTCAGTCTGCTATTTTCTTTCTGATCTCCAACTCGTCCAGTTTTTTTTACCCCAGGAAATTTTGGAATCTGGTTGAGAAGATGATGGGCAGTTATTCGGTGTGGGTTTTGTTTTGTTTTGGTTGGTTGGTTGGGTTTTTTCCCATGAGGTTTTTGAAGGGTATATGTGCAATCTCTGCAGCATTCTGGAACTAAAGTATTAGTGTCCACAGCAGTCTGTCAACTGCTTTCTATCAGTCCAAGCAGTAGTCATGATTTCTCAAGTTAATCCACCCCCCCTTTTTTTTTTTAATCATTCACCTTTTATTGTTTGGTAGCATAGTTAAGTATTTAGTGTTACAGCCATTGGCCTTCTTATCTATAATTTCACCTTGAATAGTAGGGTCATCACACAGTGGCAGATAAGGAGATACATCTTTGGCTCACTAAAATGTTCTCCAGAATTCTTATGGGATAAATTTTCATTTTTAAGTACTTCAGAAGTACTCTGATTAGGACTCTTTCCTAAACCAGATGGCTATTTTTGACAATTTCTCACTAAAAAGCTTTTGGATACTCCAAAAGAAAACTGATTGTATGGCATGGAATAGACTCTTTTTTTTCCAAGTAGTTTTGAGGGAATACTTCGGTTCATTTAGATGTTCAGAATAACTCCCCTACAACTTGAGCAGCCAATTTTTATGTTTGTGGCTCTGCATGGGCTGATCTAACTCTTTCACAGCATCCATTGCAAACAGAATTGGAGTGAACCTCCAGCATTTTAAAAAATATTAGCTAACATAAAGCAAACAAAATATTTTAAAATTTTTTCAGGCAACAACTAAATGCTTTCATTTTTTAGATTTTGTTTGTTTACCTTGGAAGACCATTATGTGTTCTTGTCTTTACTAAAACAATTATGGCACTTGACTTCAGATGATCTTTAAAATGGGACTGACAAGTAGGTAGGCCATGAAGTTTTGTCAGTTTCTCCTTTAAACTTCTGAAATTTTAACTCTGACTTGTGTGACTTCAACACTAATAAAAGCTACAAAAAGGTAAGTGGGAAACAAGGCAATAGAGAAAGCTTGTCTAGTGGACACATAAGTTGCCATTTTAGTTTCTTACTACAAGTTAGTAAGACTATTAACTACACCAGTTAATAGTATGTTCAGAGCAGCTGTAACTGCTCAACTCTTCCACTTGAGGACCATCTGCTTTACGGATGGAGCTTGGTTCTTTAGTTATCTCAGCAATTCAAGTACAGCATGCACTTCTATTAGTCACTACTGTGATGTTCTATGAGAATTTTTTTGCATTAGTTATGTGAAATTTTAATTCAGAATATATATTCAAAAACAACCTTTGATAAAACTGAATTCTTGCTGCTTCTTAGATTGCTCCACTCCTTGGGGAAGATCAGATTACTTGATGTTGGTAGCTGCTTTAATCCGTTTCTGAAGTTTGAAGAATTTCTGACAGTTGGCATAGATATTGTTCCAGCTGTTGAGGTATGTAATGTTTGCTGAATTTAATATAAACTTGATTCTTGGGTATTTTAGAATGCTTCAAAATGACTGTAAAAAAGTATGTTTAATACTTAAGTATGTATCTTAAATATCTGTGCTTTAAAAGGAACTGTGGCCCTCCTACTACCTTTTCCCATGAACAGGCTCTAAACTGTAGTTGTGTTTTGTTTTAAAAATCTGGTTTTTTTTTCTAAGAGTTATGCCTTTGTAATGCAGTTGTGAATCTTAAAATTGGAAAATTTAGGTAGCCATCTTTTAATGGCTTTTCAGATGAGTCCTTGCATCTTAAAAGGCATAAATAAAAATTGAGTAGGCTTATGCTTAGGCATGAACCTCTCAGAAGTTGCATTTGCTGACAGAAAGAAATTATCAGTGACTGTATTTGGTGAGTATTATTGAACATATTATTGAACTTCTGCAATCCTGAGGACAAATTTATCAGCATTTCTGGGGTAAATTCCTTCATTTTCTCTAGGCAATAAGGTCCTCAAATGCATTAATTCTGCTGTAATCATATGTTCTTTCTGTCTTTTGCTCTTCACCCAACTTCTGTCAGTCCTAATAGCATTTATTAACCAAGCCAAATGACAAAGCAGAATGAAAATGAAAAGATACAGAATGGAATGCATTTCTGACAGAAAACAGAAAACCCTTTGACCATATACATCTTGACTACTTCCAGTTTAAAATCAGGCTCTGTTAAAATCAGTTGCCTAAGGTAAACCTCTCTAGAAGTGGAGAGGTGAGAAGAAATGTACGAGTACAATGATATAGTTAACTTGAAAGTAATGTTCTCTTATTTGCTGCAGTGTGGTTTACATGCTAAATACATGGTATTTTGTTGTGGTCACCAGGTTTAGTCCACTAACACCTAATTTACATTTTTGCATATATGCTTAGAGATAATGAAAGATATTCTTGGAAAAAATCCGAGTCTGATAAATTGCTTTTTAAAGCAATTCAGTGTGAGTTTCATCTAAAACACAAAGAAACTTTGAGTGAACTACATGATTGCCTTCCACCACTTAAGAGGCTGTAGGACATCTGCATGGGGCTGCAAGGAGACACATGCCACTGAAGTGGCAGCCTATGGCATCTAAAATGGTAATACACGGAAGTAAATTTCCAGCTAAGGTACATGGAGCATGGGTGTCTACATCTGAGGCTCTATGTTCCAACTGCAGTCAAGGGTGATCTATTAAAAATAGTCAGTGAAACCTAAACGTCTGCTGTTTCCTGGTGAATTGTGTTCTGACCTCGTGGGCTGTACTGACTAGCTCTCCAGTGACTATAATGGGAGCCTAGGCACCTGAAGTTACATGAGCTGAATCTAACCATTAATGTTGGGGTATGGATAGTTAATATTTTGCTATCTGATCTATCATGCTGTTTTCATAAGAAAATTATTTTTGTTCTCATGAAAAACAATTTAAATGTACAGCGACCAAAACCATTATTGGAAGAGTCCCAGAAAGGTTACTTCTGTAGATGTAATGGAGGAACCTGAGTAATCCAGGCCAGACAACAGGAGAGGGACTAGTCAGGTAGCTGCACTTTCTGCGTACTAACCAGTTCTTCAGGCGCTCTCCCAGTACAAGGGAATGATAAGCTAATTGATTTCTTGTCATCTGACACAGTTAGTAGCATAGCTTGATGATAGGAACTCCACAGAGTGCTACTGTACAGATCAATGTAGTTATTTTGAGGCCTGTCTCAGGCTCACCAGCTTCTCTTGCTTCCATCCTCTTGGATACTTTGGTGTGTTCAGGGCACCTTGCAGCCTAGCTAGCAAGTGTCCTTGGGGTGACATGGAGTACAATTTGTACACTGAAACTCATCTGCTGGAAAAAGCTTAGGCCCACCTCCAAAACAGAATTAATAAGACCTGATGTATTCAAGATGACTCTACTTTGAGCTGCATCAACACCATAACATCCTGAATAAATTTATCTTTAGGCCAGCAGTTGCCCGCACTGACTTAAAACTTCAGAGTAACAGCCAGAGGGTTCTTATGGTAGTTAATGTCGTTGTCTGACCTGAAAAATGGATCTGATAACTTAGTGGTAGGAGCTGAAAATAGAAGAACTGGTAAAATCTTCTGATTTAGCAGATCTTTTAGCTAAGATACCAAAATACTTTTTTAAACACATTGAAGTATAGAGGCTTCTTAGGAAATCCAGTTTCTTGAATAATACTGAATAGAGGGTTAAATAATTCCTTCTTTATTAATAAAAATAGGTTAATCCACTTTCTGCATATAGAAATGCTTTGGCTATAGACCAAGTAGTTGAGTAAAATAAAAATACTTCTGCTAACTTGAATAAGAAGGATGTAATTGTGGAAAAAGTAGGAGAGGAACTGAAATGTTATTTATATAATGAAAGAATTAATGTCTTCAAACTGTTTGGAATCTGTATGTTTCAGAGTGAAAATGTGAACTGTAGAGCTATAAATATGGGAATATGGTAATCTGTGTTTTGATTGGGGTGGGTCTGCACCAAGAAAAGTTTGGTATTCCCTTTAGTTAGGCACTGTTCACTCATCACTTTCAGTGTCTTGGTGTAAGGTACACTGAGGGGAAGCATGCAGTATTATAAACTAGGAAGAGGGACCTGAAACGGGTAAGCGGAGCAGGCTCCTTCTTGACTTGGTGTTTTTGTTGGACATTCCTTCAAACATTCTGCTTGTAACACAGATATTCTGGAGTATAATTAGCAGTGGTTATTTTCTTGAAGGAGTTTAATTTGTCTACACTTTAAAAAAAAAAAAAAAGGCAAAATTGGAATGAAGGGAGAATCTCCACTTTGGGAAAATCCAAATATAATTTCATACTGCTGGGAAACATGCTATATTGGAATAAATACTGTCTGAGACAAAAAAAAGAGGCTGGAAGAGTACTGGAATTAAAAATCTGAAAGTACAAGTAGGATTGTGTTCTTAAATGTCAGTGGATGCACTGAAATATGACTGCTGTTTCAGTGTCTAACTGACTTTTCAGTCTAACTGACTTTAGTTCAAGACTTGTATATCTAGAGTTCAGTAGCAATCTCTAGTTTAGCAGCATTTTTGTCCTAAAACTGCCTGCAGAGTTCAAATTCCACTTGAAACATACTTTAGTCCTGAAATTCTTTAACATTATTTCTGCATAATTTATGAATATTTTTCCACTACTGAGAAATACTTGCAGTCTAAATTGTTTTTTCAACTGTGTATGTATAACCTCTAACTTTTTAAGTCTTGCTTCTAAGTATAGTTAGCACGTTACTCTGAACAATTACTCTTCAAAGCACTTCTTTCTTTTAAAACTTATTAGAGGATATAATGAAATTACTGCTGTTAATTTCCTGCTCTAAATATTACAAGGAAGCAGAATATAGCCCTGCAGGTATAATGGTTGCAATTAAAATTTCTTGATTATAGCTACATAATGCAAGTCTATTTCTTGATTTTTGCAAATTGAAGGCCAAGATTAAAGCTACTGAAAAATGAATCACAGTTTGGTTTTGGGGTTTTTTTTGAACATTGATTACTTTTTCTAATTTACCGCATATTCTCAGAAGAGAATGTGATTTTATATAAACAGAAATAACATTCTCTTCTACTTAGAAACAAATTTGCATATCAGGTGCTTTATGAATACCTCTACAGTAGTGTTCTAGTGATCTCTTTTTTGAATATAGTTTCATAAAACACACTATAAATATTTTTGCAGTATGAAAATGCAACAGATCTAACTCCACCTTTCAGATGTGCTCCGCAGAATGTTTTGTCTCTGCTTTCATGTTCACTTACCTGTTTAGAAATCTGTCGTTCACTGCACATTCTCTAGACGTTAATAACAATTTTTGTTGCTATTATGTTGAAGCCTTGTACCTTAATATCTTTTTTATTAGAGAAGTCAGCCCAGATTTTGATTAATATAAAGTGTCAAAACTTAAACATGAATATCATAGTTACTCTTATTTTTTGAGTGCTCTGTGATTAAGGATGTTAAGAACTTATTCTTCTGTACGTTGTATTGTGGTGTCATTTCCAGTCTTCAGCAGCTTGAGCACACAAATGATCGACAGATGAATTTAAAGCCCTTACCTTACTTTCATAACTGCCCAAATGTGTACCGCTGTACTTTGTGTTTACAGCAAGGTTAAAACATGGACCTGCATCACTGCTGCAAAGCAGGCAGCGCGCTGTAATTTCCTAACATATCTTGCCTTGCTGTAACTTCTTTATGTTTCTGTGCCAGTAAGGAATGTCACTTTTTTCCAAGTGACCAAACTACTAAGTTTCCTGGATTCTTTAAAGAACTGCTGGAAATACTGAGGTATCAAATTTTCTAATTACTGATTTCAGGTTTATTTAAAAAAAAACAACCCAAACAAACCAAAAGCAAAAAACAAACCACCACATAATTTAGATGTAAATTTTAAGAATTCCATTGTTTCATGCTATTGCCAGATTTTAATATGCAACTATCTTGACAATGTATGGTATACTAGGAAAACATGGAGTTTTGGCAGTCAATAGGGGATACTTTGTGCTTCCAGCATCTGGAGAAACAAAAGCAATGTAGGCTAATCTGAGTTCTTTTAAAATCATTTGTGAGATAGAACAAAGTGTCAAATCAACTATTCGGGCTATTTTTTTTTTTTTAAATGAACAGTTCTCGGTTATTAAATCTCCAGTAAATTACTGCACATCTAAAATTTTTCTTTGCAAATGTGAAAGCTGGAAATATGCATTATTTATAAATTTTGGTTTAGCTTGTTTGATTTAATAACATTTTTTTTAGCAGGCTTGAATTTTCCTCAAGAGAATGAAGAGGTTATCACTGATCGTTCTGTAGGTTTGAATTGTATTTGCTCTTTAAACTAACCTTGATGTTTGTTTGGCTTCTTCTGTTTTTCTTATTCCACCAGAGCGTATACAAATGTGACTTCTTAAATCTTCAAATTCAGCAACCTCTCCAGCTGGCACAAGATGCTATAGATGCCTTTCTCAAGCAACTGAAAAATCCCATTGATTCTCTACCTGGAGAACTGTTCCATGTCGTCGTTTTCTCACTCCTCCTTTCTTACTTTCCATCACCCTATCAACGATGGATATGCTGCAAGAAGGCACATGAACTTCTCGTATTAAATGGCTTATTGCTTGTAATAACTCCTGATTCATCTCATCAGAATCGCCGGGCTATGATGATGAAAAGCTGGAAGATTGCCATAGAGTCCTTGGGTTTTAAACGCTTCAAGTATTCCAAGTTTTCCCACATGCACCTGATGGCATTTAGGAAAACTTCCCTGCAAACAACAAGTGACTTAGTTAGCAGGAACTACCCAGGAATGTTGTATATCCCACAGGATTTCAACAGTATAGAGGATGAGGAGTATTCCAACCCTTCCTGCTATGTTCGATCAGATACAGAAGATGAACAGCTAGCTTACGGTTTTATGGAGCTACCCGATGCTCCTTATGACTCAGACTCTGGAGAAAGCCAGTCTAGTTCAATTCCTTTCTATGAGCTAGAAGATCCTATATTGCTTCTAAGTTAATGTAGTCGTTGAAACGCCCTTTCAGTCCAACCTCTTGCTTAACTAATTTTGCTATACTAACATGGGCTCAACACACAAAAACGGTTTGCATAAAGAAAATGCAAAGGTTTACAGAGTTTGCTATTTTTTTCTACTTTTGAATTTTAAAATTTATTCTTGTATGAAAGTGGAAAAAATACAAGTTTTATGCAAATGACTCAGTCATAGCATAAATTGCTGTTACTTTCTTTAGATTTGTATCACTAATTTTTTTCCAGAAAGGTACCATTCTTTTCTTTAGTGCTGTGAAGTGTGAATTCTATTTAATTTGCTAAATGTTGTTTCTATATTTTAACTCAATGTGGTTGAGCTTAAGGCACTGGAGTTGGTGGGCTTCTGAGAAGTATATGTAGGAAGAAATAATTTGCACTTTAATTAAATGTGCAGATAGGTTAAGACACTTGGTTACACATGTCCCTTAATTATGGAACAAAACTTTTATCCAAAATTTGTTTCACTCTGGTTAAGCCTGGGCTGGAGAAAATATAATGCTTGCACATTTGATATTATGTTTATTGCAGCCCTCTTGAGATAACACCAAATTGAGATAACGCCGAAACACTGGAATATATTCATCCATAGTTATACATACTGTGAAATTTCATTGCATAAATAGTAGTTAGACATGAGATTTCTGAAGGTTATCCCCCCCCAGAGGAGTATGGTACGTCTAGACAATTATGTTTCGCTTCAAAGCTGGAACATGGTTTTGCAGTTTTATGAGTGTGCAAGCACTAACATATATCAGTATTCCCCCAATGATGGTGTTCTGTATTCTCTTCAAACTGTGTTTTTTGGGGGACAGGGTGGGTTTTGTCATGTTTTAAAGTAAATTATTTATGCATTTTAAAAACAAACAACTTCTTCTTTAGTTGTCCTTACTTGTAGACCTCCCAAGTTATACAGTAACTACAGACCGATTTTGTAAAAAGGAATATAATTATACAAGTTTTTCAAGGATACACATAGTTGCACAAAAACCTGTATTCAGACCACATGAGTGAAGTTAATATACACTATTTGTTTGCTTATTTGGACCCAAAAATCTTCTGTTTAGTTCAATAAAAACTCCATAGTTGTCTGAAAACTGGTCTGCACTGTAAGGAGATGGAACAGAAGTGTTTTACATCTGTTAAGTTTTTTAACTTGTGTAATAAATTTGTGAGTTTTTGCAGGAAAAAACAATTCTGTTCAGTGGTAAAAATAGAGGATTCAGTATTAGTTTTGCTTAGATTTCCCTCCATTTAAAAATAACGGCCAGAATTTTCAGATTTGAACGTTAGGCTGTTAAATCTATATGTAAGTGCCTAATAATAAATGATTTGAACTAGGTGCCACATCATGGTTTTAAGACTGACTTCAGCAACGTGGTAGAAAATACTAATCTATAGTTTTACAGGTGGTTGTGATGAAAAGTACCTTACACCATATTAACCTATGATGTTGTATTTATAATACAGAAGTTACCAGATAAACTGAAGTTGTAGTGTGGATTTTACAGTGGTTGCTACAAAAATGAAACTTAGCCTTCCACTGAAGTTTTGCACTGCAAGTGTCACAGTTTGACCTACCTGTTTTTCATTTATACCATTTCCTACAAAGAGTCCTCCTGCATTGGTCCTGCTTACACTCAAACATGAACTGGACTGCAGTGCTTCATTCTTTAACGTAAGCTTTTTGTGTCTCAATTCTTAAATTTAAAGCATCCCCTAATACTTGATTCGAATTTGTTATTTAATCTGAATGATAGTTATATACAAACCAAGCAATTATATTCTGATGTGTTAAAAAAAAAATTAAATTTAGACATACAAGTATCATGGTTGACTTTTAAATTTTTTTTACAGAGACTACTTCTCTAATGAAATACACAATGGCTTCAAAATTGGCTGTAAGTCAGTATGTGCATCTAATGATTTACCACTTCACTTTCACCAAAATGTTTGTCATTCAAAGCCTTTCTTCTTCCCAGTTAACCACTGACTCCAGCAGTGTTCATGTTAAAGCTAAAATATTGGTGCTATAAATTCAACTGTTCATGGAAACTTATTCTGTGCATACTTCAAAGTGTACCTAACATTTTAACTGATACTCTTTTTAAAAGAAGTTATATACCAGCTAACATATATGTGGGCATTGGTTAATGTAAAATGGTTTGTGATTCATACAAAAAAGCAATTCAGACCAAGATTTATCCCCCCAAAATAGTTTAAAATATTAACATTTAAAATTTAAGCCTTTTGGCTGGTTGGTGACACCATTGTATTTGTGGTTTAGGGACCTGAGATTCATAACAGCTTGGTTTTCTTGCTGCTCATTCTAAATACCTGAAGTGTTCTTTTTTTTAATTTTTTTTTTTTACAAGGGACAGTAGATTGTGGTGCAGGAGGGAAGTGGGATTTACATAAATACTTATACCTCTCTGAACAATAAAGTGATATCAGGAGTTGGATATTTGGCTTTGGTGCAAGAAGAATGTTTCTAGGGTATGAAATATTTGAAAATTATGACTGCAAGAGATCTCTCTTAAGGTGCTGGAGAAGAAAAGGAAAAAATGTGTATTTGCATTTCTGTTGTCTTTATGTCACTACTTTTTGTGAACAAAGCACATTTATTAAAAAAAAAAAACAAACTGAAAACCTTCTTAAAAATTGTTTCTTTGGGGTGGAGATGCCGTCCTTTTTTCTTCCTGTGCAATTGGTTTATGCTGAAATCCAGTGAAACCAATGCATAGTTATTTTCTTTATTGTCAAGAAAATAGTTGTGTTGCGTTTATTTTATAAACAACTGAATTATAGTAAAGATATTAAATTTGGTAGTTCAGTTTCAGCTTCTACATCTCAGTTGTTGTCTTTGCTTTACAGAAGGGTTTTTGGAGTTCCTCCAGTTGATCCTGTATCATGTTTCTTTGCCTGCCTGCTTAGGATGCGACCACTTTCTAATGCAGTTCCTCTCTTCTCTCTCTAGATGTTCTTAGTTTCTCCTCTATCCCCCTGAAATATCTTTGCAGATCCTGTTGTACGTTGGCCCTTTGAGGTCATTGCTGTATTTTTCTACGTGGTGATTTTGAGTACTGGAGGTGTTGGGAAAGGATGGCAGTGGGAAAAGAAACCCAAAGAACTGAAATGCAAGGCTCCTACTCAGATCCAGATTCTAAGAAAATTAGATTTCAGCAGAACTGAAGTGTGTCCCTAGCACTGCAGAGCCTAGCTGGTATATCCTGGTCTCTTACTTGACAGTGAAGATCAGAAAATGTGATTTCACAGCTGTCCTCAGTATTGCTTCCTGCAGAATCTTTCTGTTCTTTTCTTCTTTAGGGAGACTTGCTGACTTGTCTTTAAAAGTGTGATCATTCTAAGTCTTTTTAATTTTATCTCCATGAATCAGCAGTGTATCTTTGATTCCTTGCAGTTGGGATATGTATGTATTCAGGTTTTTGACTCCTTTTTCCTCATTTCCTCAGTTTTCCTCAATTCATTGTTGTGTACCTGTAGAATAGCAGAAAGATTTTTTTTTTTAGAAGGGTTGCATTTCACAAACTTGCACAGAAACTTAGTTGTGTTTTTACTTTTTAAGTAAAATATTCTCCAAGAAGTTCAACAAATAGTTGCTTGAAGAGTATTCCTAAATCACGGTTGGACAGATACGGTACCAACTAAGTGTTGTCCATGATGCTGGTAAAGCATCTGAAGCAGGTGACACGTACTGACCAAGTTAGATTTCTACTGTTCTGCTTGTTAAAGGAAAACCTCTTCGCTTTTTTTTTTTATCCATGTAACTTTTAGGCCTGTTGGCCAGTTGTATTTAAAATTTGAAGAGGGGAAGGGATTTTGGAGACGACAGGTTCTTGTGAATCAGTTGTCTGAATAATTGAGGCAGGAAAGACAGACTGTCGAAGTTTAGATGTTTGAGTATCCAGCTGCGGCCCGTCAGCACCAGTGCTTCTTGACTAAGGGGATGAAGGGGCTGGTTGTGATGAAGGGATTACAGGAACAAAGGACATAAATCTGCAGCAGGCCAGCCCTGTTGCAGCTCAAAAAGCCCTTGTGCAGCAGCTGTCTAAACTTATTCAAAGTCGAACTACCCTTGTTTTGCCTGTCTAAGCAATGGAGCTATTAAGATCCAGAAACTTCCCGCTCTTGCCTACCTGCCTGCGAGGGCCAATTCAAAACATGCATTTCCAGCACAGTGTTGTGAAACACTGATGGTCAAGGAAGTGTGCCTTCTGTATAATGCAAGGGTGGTGAAAGCTCTCGTTTAGGAAGCATGCGTCAGCCCAGGACCAGAGTCCTCTCCCCCAGAAGGCTCCTGCTAGCAAGTGATGGGAAAGGCTAGAGAGGGTTCAGTTTGTGTTGCAGCCCTGATTCAAACACAGCTTTCCCTCTTCTGTGTCCTAAGCACCAGCTGACAGTATTTAGAGGTTTGGTTTTTTATTTTCATTCTCCCAGCCTATTAACCTTGCATTTTTTTGTCTGTGGAGGGCAGAATGCGCTTTCACTCCTGCCCAGCATCTAGATGCTACTGAATTCCCCGAGAGTGAGACAGCTGTGGGGCTGGAGGGTGCCAACGGGAACAGTGTTTACAACCCCACTCTGGCCCATCAACACCAGCTGATATGTAGGTGAGTCTTCTTACAAGAAAACGTTGCTCTGGACTCCAGGCCGCTGGAGCCACGCAGCACAGCCCAGGCCCGACCCTGGCAGGGCGCAACACCAGCACCGCTCTCCTCTCTTCTCTCCCCTTCTTACACACTGTGGACCGGACTCCTCGGTGCAGCCCCTCTTCAGTTGCTCTGGGTATTTTGGGGTATTTCCTCTCCAGCCAGGCATGCCCCCCTTGTCCCTTAGTGCAGCCCCCACAACCCCTCATAACACCACCTCCGTACCTTGCGCAGGCACAGCAGTCACCAACCTAAGTAAGAGCAGAGCTTCCCTCAGCAGTGATAGTGTGCAATACAGCACTAAGTGTTTGTTAAGAAAACTCTTATTCCCGCGAAAGGCGAGGATTTTTGTTTCAGCAGAGG